GCTGATGAAGGCCCGGTTCTCTCGTCCCGCTCTGTCCTCGAGCTGACCTCCGCGGCCCCGCTGGGCCGGGGCGGGAGCACACAAAGGCGGTGCATTCCCGGCTTTAATTACTGCCGCAATCACAACACGGAGCCGCTGTCAGGGAGAGATAGCTCGGCACCGCCGGCTGGGATCCTCGCCACTCGGGGCTTGTAACTAAAACTGCAGGATTAATTTGATTAATTGATAGAATTATTTTCCAAACTACTCTTTTGTTTATGGAGGCTTAAAATGCTCGCCGCCTGCACCCTCCCGGTGTGTTGCAGAGTGGAGATAAAGTGGCTGAAAATAATTAGTATGGCTTAATTTAGGGAAAAAAATAACCTCAAAATAATTTTGCAGAAAATTTAAGGCGGCACATTTTACTTTGTTTTGGCAGGAAATATTATGGAGCTGGAAATGGGACTTTTATGTTTTCCCTGTGCTATATTTCACCAGGGCAGCAAACCTGCAGGGCGGAGGAGGAGAATTTCATGCCTGGTTATTACCAGAGCTATCCCACACCTCCAGATTCATCACCTGGGCACCTGGAAATGAGTCTCCTGGGAGCCAGGGGAATGCTGCAGGGATGGGACCCGTCCCCAGGGACCCCTTCCCAAAGCTGCACCCATTTCATGGAACCCAAGACATGAGTGGCAGCTGTCTCAGGCTCTGCTCCCTCTGGAATGCCACTCCCCAGGGAGATGTTTGCATCATCCCCACATCTTTGAGGGCTGAATTATTTTGTTAATCCTTTCCCTTCTAAATGTGAGTCGTTTTTTTCCCCCCTCTGCTCTCACCCACATCCCACATCCTCAGTCCCCCCCACCCTGAGCTCCCTAAAGCCCCTGGGTTTGCTGAGTGCTGCGTGATCCGGTGGCATTTGTCACCTGGGGGATTGCAGGGCCCTGTCACCTCATTCCAGTGAGGATGCAAAGCCGGGCAGCTTCTCCTGGCTGGGGATTAACTCCCCGCTCAGCAGGGGCCAGCAGCACAGGGAGGCTCCTGTGAGAGCCTGCACATCTGGGGGTCCCAGCCCTGCACCCCCCGGGACATGGGGCCAGTCTGCAGCCACATCCTCAGGGCTGGGACAGCTCCACCCCGGGGGTTACAGGGTGGCTCTGATGGGAGGTGCCTGCCATTGATGGAGCTCCTCGGGGGGGATTTCTCGGCTTCTTGCCACCACCCAAAATTTTCCTCAAGCTGCTTGCTCTTCAAGCCCGGCCTCAAATCCGGCCAGCCTTTCTTTTCTCAGCCCCACATCCAAGTTTCTGAGCCAGAGGTGCTTTAAGCTTCTCCATAAAGCCTGGGGGATAACGGGATCCACCATGGTTGTCACGCTGCAAGCAGGGGCTGAAGATTTAGAAATTTCTTTTTCTTGCTTTTGAGTCAAATCTGGCCATTCCTTGCACAGCAAGAATTTAAACCCAGCTCCCACCTTCCTCCCCAGGGTGTGTGACAGGGACCACACGTAGCAGCGGGATCCTGCAGCCCTGGTGCTGAATCCATGCAGGAAAACCTGGAGCCCTGGGGGCTGTGAACAGGAGCACAGGAGCCATGCAGCCCCCAGGGATGCCATCCTGCCAGCAGCGATGCTTCTGAAGGCCAGGAATTGGTTGGATTGCTCCTTTTGGGAGTTAGAACATCACTCCTACAGAAGATCAATAAGAGAGAGGGGGAAATAAGCACTGAGACATGCCAGCCTTGGATTTGGGATGTGGGGGCTGCTCATCCACACATTCCCACCTGGTTTCAGGAGCGTCCAGCATCATTTGTGCCAGGGAAGGTTGAGGTTGGATATTGGGAAGGTTGGTTCAGGCCTGGCTCAGCTGTTCAAGGCAGTGGTGGGGCCCCCATCCCTGGAGGGATTTAAAAGCCACATGGATGTGGCACTTGGGGACATGGTTCAGTGGTGGCCTTGGCAGTGCTGCGGCCCGGTGATCTTGGAGGTTTTTCAAACCTAAATAATTCCACAGGTGGGATTTGATTTAATCCCAAACCCTTCCACGCTGCCACAGCAGCTCCCGGGAGCCCAGAATTCCACAGCAGCATCTCTGCACAGGACGTGCCCAAGTCAGAGAGGAACATGCCCAAACCGTGCCCAAACTGTGCCCAAACCGTGCCCAAACCGTGCCCAGGCTTTGCTCCTGCCATGTCCAAGCCACGTCCTACCCGTGTCACACCCGTGCCCAGCCTCGGAGGAGCCCGGGCTGTTGGCAGCCACCCGAGGTTGAGCCACAGGCTGGTGACAAGTGGCACCCAGGGCCAGGTTCTCCTGCCAGCAGGTGGCAGGGCCCTTCTGCAGGTGGGGCACCATGATGCCAGTCCTCCCTCTTGGGACCAAAAAAAACCCTAAAATAGGATATTTTGAACTGGAGAAAAGCTTGTTTTGGAGCCTGGGCAAACCGTGCCAGCAGCCAGTGCCATCAGCTGGCACTGGGGGCTCGGCACAGCCCCCCAAAATGCCCTCGCAGCCATCCCTGAGCCCTGAAATCCGGCAGAGGCAGCGCCTCGGCTCTTCCCATTGACATTCCTGCGCCGCCGCCTCCTCTCGCCGCGTCTCTAATAATATCAGGCCAGATTAATTGGCACTAATACAAATGTACACAGCTCCATAAAAAGATGTCACCTCGCTCGCAATGGGGGGAACGGCTGCTCCCGCATTATCTCTGCTCTGCAGGCGTGTAATTCACTCCTCGGGAAAACACGCTATTTATTCGGCTCCCCTATAACAATCTCCCTGCAAACACCACGGCACCGGGAAGGGAGCAGGGGGACACCCAGCCCTGCCGCTGGCACCGCCACCGTGACACTTTTCCCCGTGCGGAGGCCACCCATGGGTCCCCCCCAGGGGATGGGGCAGCGGGATGTGGGATTTGGGGACGTCCCGCGTGGGGATCCAACCTTGGGTGCTGGTTGAGACCGAGAATTGTCAGCCCTGGGGGGGTCTAAGTGGCTCAGGTTTGGTGCCAAAAAGGGAATTAAAGGGACATTGGCACGGAACGTGCCAGGGGAAGGGCAGCAAGCTGCTTCCTTCGCTCCCCAGGCCAGGGCGGCAGCACCCACCGGCTCCAGCGAGGCTTTGGGGACAATTTTTTTTTGGGGTGGGGATGCAGCCCCCCGTGGGTGCGGTAATGCCCCCTCGGCCCCTGGAGATGCTCCCGCTGCTTCTTCCAGCACAAAGAGCCGGGGACGGCTTCTTGCAGACCACGCTGCCTGCCGAGGAGAGGAAATTTGGGCGCCTCGCTCACCGCCAGCCCCTCGAAGCCGCGCAATTAACGATGCTGTGTTTAATTAAACGCTTGTCTAATTATCTCGGCGCGAGCAAACACGCCAGGTGAAGAGCACGGGAGCTGCGGGGACATCCGTGGATGGAAGCGGCCCCAAAATCCCCGCAGGGGGAGGTGGGAGAGCCCCGAAATCCCCATCGGAGCCCCTGGAGGAGGCAGAGCCGCCAGGACCGGCACAGAGGGCCCGGCAAACCCGGCTGGGCAGGAGGGAAAGGCTCTGGGAAAGCGGAGCTGCTCCCCCGGCGATTCGAGGCCACTCGAGGTGAAAGGAGCCGCCAGCATCATTTTGGGGGGTGGTCAGCCAAGGGGGGGCCGGCAGAGCCTTGTCCTCAGCAGCATCTCCCTCCTTCCATAGGGTTTTTAAATTATTTATTTTTTTTTTTTCTCCCCTGGATTTCTTCTTAATTCCTAACTTAATTTCTTTTGACATCCTCATTGCCGGTTTGACCTCTTTACTGGAATCATGCGCTGCTTAAAACTCATTATCCCACTATTGAAACAGGAAGTTAATTAAAAAACCCTTTAAAAAAAAGAAAAGGAATAAGAAAAGGGGGAAAAAAAAAGCACATCCCGTGTCCGGGGAGAGATGGAGAAGGGATATGACCAAGCTGTGCCATGTCCCCGCAGCCCACCAGCCCCCTCCACTGACCCAAAAACTCCATTGATATTTGGGGACCACCAGCTGTCCCCACTAGCAAATCCCCCTGATCCAAGGTCAGCCACGGGCAAGGTCCAGTTTGTGAGAAATTATTATTTTTCACAGGACAATATTCCCATTATGGGTTCAAAGTCGAAGTGGCTCCTGTTTAACGCACATTTCACCCCAAAATTTCTTCATGCTCACAGGTCACCTGGCTGGGATGATGCCAAGGGGGGACCCCAGGACGCCTACGCCACCCCAGGGTGTCCCGGGGTGTGCCCCACCCTGAGCCAGGGTCGCGGTGGGCGTGGAAGTGCCAAGGGGGAGGTTTTGGAGATTCGTCTGGAAATGAGAGGGGTTCTAAGGGATCCCGAAGAGTCTCTGGGGAAGGTTTGGGGGGCCCCATAAGAAGCTTTGAGCATCTGAGACAGATGGAGTGGAACCCAGCGCGGGCACTGAGCTTCCAGCGGGGGCATCGCTGTGCGCGTGGGAGCTCCCAGAGACATCACAAGGAACCCCAAAGGTGAATTTGGGTACCCCCAAAGCAGAATTGCAGACCCCAAAGTGGAAATCCGGGATGCTGGAGCCGGGTTGTGAAACCCAAAAGGGGGGCTCCGACCTAGCGGGGTGGGGCCAGAGACCCAAAGGGGCGGGCGGAGCCTCCCGGGGCTCTCAGAGCGGGGCTGGGGACACCTTTGGGATCATTTTTGGGGAGCGTGGGGGGGGTGCAGCGGAGCCCCGAGGCCACGCCCCCCGCGCCGTTAGCCCCGCCCCCGCCGCGCGCGCGCGCGCGCCATCCGGTGGGCGTGGCCCGGGGGGCGGGGGCCTATGGGCGGCCGCGGCGGCGGCGCTGGCCCCGCCCCCCGGAGCGCTCCGCGGGTTTGATCCGGCGCGGCGCCCATTGAGAAAATCCCGCGGCGGCGGCGGCGGCGGCTTCGCTCCGCCGAGCACGGCCCGGCCCGGCCCGGCCCGGCCCCGGCCACGCGGGCGGGCGGGCGGGCATGCGAGCAGCCGGCGGCCCGCCCGCCGCCACCCACCTGCCGCCCGCCCAGCCGCCAGCCGGGGCGCCGGGCTCGCCCCTCGCCGAGCGATGTCCAGGAGGAAACAGAGCAACCCCCGGCAGATCAAACGTGAGTCGCCGCTACCGCCGCCCCCTCCGCCGCTCCGCCACCCCCCCGCCCCTTACCACCACCACCCCCCCTCCCCGTGCCTCTTTTATTTTTTTGCACCCCTCCCCCGGTCCGCCCGCGACACACCCGGGACACACCCGGGACACACCGGGACGGCCGCCGTGGGTGCCGGTTCCCGCTACCGGCCCATCGCCGGTCCCCGCCGCTCCCCCTCTCCCGCGCCGCCTCCCCCCCGCCCCAGCGCGGTGGCTCCGGTACCGGCTCCCGATGGGGGCCCCGATAAGGCTTTAAAATATTCCGTTCTGCAAGTCCCGTCCTGATAACATCGCTCTGTCGGGACGGCCTGAAATTGTGATCTTATCTCCCCCGCCTGCCTCCCATCCTGCGCCGGCAGCCAGGGCCGGGGGCTCCCCAAACCCCCCCCGGGGCTCCCGATCGCCGCCGGGCCACCCCCGCCCTGCCAAGGGCTCCTCCGGGCGGCTCACCCTGCCAGGGGCTCCCCACCCACCCCGGGGCACCCCAGCCCTGCCAGCGGCTGCTCCCAGCGCCCTGACCCCGCCAGGGCTCCCCTTCCCGCACGGGGACCCCCGTTAGCCTGGGCGCTGCTGGACCCGCCGTGCCATCGTCCCCATCGTCCCCGTGTGCCACCCTCCCCGCCGGCCACGCTGTCCTTGTCACCCCCACCGTGCCCGGTGTCCCCCCGGGTCGCGCTTTGCATCCCAGCCCAGGTGGGACGTGGCCGGGAGGAGCAGCCGCGGGGTCCCCCGGGATTTGGGGCGCATCCCCGGGCTCCCTGCGGAGCGGGCTTCGCAGAGGGTCGCGCTGCCCACCACGCTCCAGCCCACCGAGCTCTTCTTTTGCTCCAGCGAGGATGTACCAGCAAGGCAGAGAAATCCTGCGAAGTGCTGGAAGTTTTTTGGTGCCGGGCTCAGCTTGGTTTTTCTCCTTCCTCTCCGGTGTGTGTGTGTGTGTTTTTTTTTTCTTTCCCCCTCGAGTCGATGGAAGCTGGTGATAAGAGGGAGATGGGAGGATAGGAAAGGCTGGCCACCATGTGATAATCTACCTTTATCTTTCTCCTGAAATAATTGCAAGGCTGAGTTGCACCTACCTGTTTCCCTGCCTGGGGTGATTGCTGTGGTGATAACGCTCAGCTAGACTTTTACCCGGGGAGAGTTAAAAATAGTCCCAGCTGCCTCCTTTTTTTTTTTTTTTTTTTTTTTTTTTTTTTTTTTTTTTTTTTTTTTTTTTTTTTTTTCGGGATACTTTTCTCTTTTGGCTTGGCTTTCTCCAACTTCCGCGGCTTTATTTCGCCAAAAAGCCCTGCGAGCCCTGCCTGGGTAACTGCGGCTCCTTCAGCCGGGAGCCTCGGGAGCGGAGCGGGCGGCAGCGCTGGGATGCCGCCGCTCCCTGCGGGATCCTGGCCGCTCTTTTGGGATTTGGGATGCCCGACCCCAGCACCCTTCACTGGGCAAACTGAGGCAGGACGGCGGCTCCTCGGTATCTCCTTCCTCTGCTGCTTTTCTGCAGAGATGTGAAGAAATGATAAAGTGGGAGGCTGATCTCAGGCCGCCGGCGATGGCCAAAACTGATTAAAAGCTGAGAGCTTGGAAGCCTTCCTGTATGTGTCAACATGAAAACAGTCATTAGAGGCGGCGAGCGCGGCGAGAGCGCCCTGCCGCTGCTCGGCCGGGGAAGGTATGCATGAATCAGGGCTCCGGTAACCAGACTCCTCTCATGTACAGACCGGACCTGTTTCCACAAAGTCTATCCTTCCTTATCATCTCGGCTGGAGCATTAAAAACCTCCTCCAGATTGCTATCTGCTGATTTTATTTTCCTGGGTGACGCGATGCTCTCGCTCTGGCTTCGCCTTCTCTCGTGGGGTTGGGGTTTTGGTGTGTTTTTTGGGGGTTTTTTTTTGGTTGTTTTTTTTTTTTTGAAGCCCGATGCGAGGCGCAGATTAAGGCTCGCGGGGAGATCGCCGGGAGAGCGGGCGATCGCCAGCAGAGATAAGACAAAGATCAGACACCGGACTATATTTAACCAGCTGCTTTAACCTTCCTCCTCTCGCTGCCTTTCCGGGCTGGAGCCGTGCGGGGATGGAGGGGCCGGGGGTGCCGCTCCCTCCCAGCCCCCCGGCAGCGGTGGGGAGCCTTTGAAAGCCGATTGCATCGCGATGGTGGCTTTTGATAGCAGAGAAAACACCCCGAGCATCTCTGCCTTTCATTTTTGGGGGTTCCTGCCCGCAGAGGACAGTTTCTTTCCATCCCCGCCTGTACCACCAACCTCCCTGCAGCTGCTTCTGCCTTATGGGGTGGTTTATTTATTTTTTTTT